TTCCCCTTTAAAAGTTCTATAAAAATGTATGCAACAGCATATATCCATCTTTTAAGTTTGACTCACTATGACATTTTTCCTAAACTTTACGCGGCTGAAACCTCTATTTGTGACATAACTATAATAGTTATACATATAGTATTGTGGACTTTTTTGTAGGTAATGATAAAACTTTTGTACGTCACTTTGCTCTATTGTCAATGACTGCCGCAGCGTACTCGATAAAAGGTTATTTATTGTTTTTTTTTCACACACTGGGTTAGCTACATTATCGAAAATTTTCATCCGGAACCCTAATTTTTTTGAAAAAACTCTATAGTCTATGTTCATGAGGAATAATGTAGGATTCTAAATGTGAAAGATTTTTTGAAATCGGTTCAATACTTTCGAAGGCGTTTCAATACAAACAAACAAACAATCAAATCTTTCCTCTTTATAATATTAGTATTAATAAGTATAGATTATTGTATTGTTTATTTTGTTTGCGGATTTTAAAACTATTTCAGTGTACGAAGTACCTATTATTGATATTGAATTTAAGTTTGTTGAATTTATATCGAATAGGTGCAATTCCGATATTACTATTGGAATTCCGTTTGAGATTTGAAATTGTAACCGAGTATCGATATTGAATACATTCCGACGTTTAATGACGTACTCCATAAATAAAGCGTAATTTTTCGGCGTTTTTTCAAATTCCAGTAGCAGATGTATTGCAAAATATGCGTTTGTGAGATGGATCTCAACTCTGGATGGTCGAACTTGGTTGTGATTTTTCATTAAAGGTACATATTTGAATTGCTTTATAAATACATATATTTGACACATATCTTTAATTTTATTTTTATTAATTGAATTCATACATATCACTGTTTTAAATTTGATTAGAATTAAAAGTGATTATGTTTTGTTTTTATAATATCACTAGGTTAAAAAGAGATTAAAAATTGTTCTTAAATCCCATAGTTTTTGAGGAAAACACGTATTTGGGTTGATTTTAAAAGAACGTCAGACAGTCCAAAATTTGTAATATAATTTAAAATTCAATAAAGGTGGGATTGCGTCGCCGAATGGGTTCACAGATGGAAAGGTCTCTCCGAATTATCTCTTATGTCTAAGAGGATTTAAATTTTAAGAGTTAGCGGTGGTAGGAGTGCGTTGTGCTTGTAGACCTTTCTTGCAAGGTAAATACGTGATGACTTAATTCAAAGAAAACATGAAGCAAAGGTCAGAGATTTATTGCCAAACGTAGGTACATAAAAAAACATGATAATACCGATTATTTTCTAATACTTATTTATGCCTACAGTTGATTAATTTTGAAAGTATTCTTCTAGGTATCTTTGTCTGTGCTTTCGGGCCGGATAGAGGATCAACTGAAAGAAGTATGAGGTTAAGAAAATAAAATTTCATAGATTCGTCTTTGTAAAGGATTTTTTTATATATGTGAGTGTAGAGTATCTGCAATCAGTTCCCTCTTTTTTTTATTACAACTTTAAGCAGATTAGTTACAAATTCAAGTTCACGGGAAGAGCGTAACTCCATTGACCATCTACTCATTTGAAAAGGTACCACTTGGCGAAGTTAATGTTATGACTATATCGTGTCGTTATTTTTGAATAACTTCTTATTCGCAATATAGAAACCAGATTATTTGGGTGTCTTTCCAGTATCTCCTGGTATTGTATGATTGACACTTTGAATTTCTTCTTTTACCAATTTCATCATCAGCTCCTTGTGAATTTCAGCGTCGGTAACAAACCAGTACACCACTTGTTGAACGCAAGATTTTTTTGTATAATGCTAATGTTACATTTGCAGGCACTACCCCATTGTTTCACTCCATAGAGCCATACTGGTTTTATGATCATTGTATAGATTAAGAGTTTGTTGTCTATGCTCAGCTTGCTGTTGCGTCCCATAACCCAGTGCAGGTCCTTATATTTGATATTCGGTTCATTTCTCTTGGTCTTAATATAATTTTTCCACGTTAAACGGCAGTCAAGATGTAGCCCCAGATATTTTACAATGTTGCAATGTGGTCGCGTGGTTCACATATGGACAGTCGCCCTTTCAAAAACATGAAAGTCACCTGCTTGCGCTTTAATGGAGTGGCGTTTTTATCCGCCACTTATGGAGTCAAGACGTTATTTCATCCAGCCCTTTCTGTAAAAATTTTGAAGTCATGGCAGCATCTGTGTGGCTCGCAAGTATAGCAGGATCGTCGGCGAACGTTGCTGTGGTGTGTGCAACGAGTGTAGAGGATTGGACCCAGGACCGAACCCTGTAGCACTCCCGCCATTATATATCACAGAATCCAGACTTGGTATGTCCTTCCTTCACCTGAAATATTCTATCAGTGAGATAAAGATTTAACTGTTGTGGAAGATTGATCTTTAGTTTATATAAGAGACCTTTATGCCAGACCTTCTCAAATGCCTCTTGAATATCCAGGAATACTGAAGAGCAATATAATTTGAGAGAACTTCTGGTTGTACTAACAATGTACTTATAGTTAAGATCATCAGAGTATGGTCCGAACAACTATCAAAACAGGATTTGGCTTAAAGATAGTGCCGAGGAAAACTTTTAGAAGTCAAGAAGGTCTCGGGTTTTGTTGGGGTCTGTAGGCCAATAGGCTTGTTTTAAGTTGTCTGCCCCTGGCTGTGGTGAGTTTAGAGTCCCAGCTTGATATGTTTTGCGTTTCAGTCACCACCAACTACGATTCCCAAGCTGAAGCAAAAACTGTGTGAACATATTATTGTCTATTTTGTGTTTTGGAGGGCAGTATATGGCCGAGAAGTAATATAACCTGTACTATCTTCCATTCCATCTTGTTATTGCTTGTATATGATCAGTTCTATATTCAGGCAGTATATGATGTTTTATTTGTTTCCTGTTTATTATTGCAGTCCCGCCAAGACCAGTGTTGTCTGGACAATTGGTTGTATAGCATTAAAGTTCTTTAAGTTTGATACTTATATGACGAGTACTTATATATTACCTACTCAGCTCTGTGCCTGGGTAGCTGACTTCCTGCATGAGCAAAGGATTTGCGTCCTTACAGACGGATGTAGTTCGCAGTTCATGTCAGTGAATGCCGGTGTTCCTCAGGGCTCCGTTCTATCCTCCACGCTCTTTCTGCTGCATATCAATGATTTGTTTCCACTTGCGAATATTCATTGCTATGCAGACTGTAGTACAGTGCATGCAAGATACTTTGGACACGCAGCGGCTGGACAGGTAGAAACCAGGGAGAAACGGGAGAATCTTGTCGTTAATCAGGCTTTGGACCACATTTCCGAAGGGGGTACAAAGAACTTGGTTGAGTTCAATGCCAAGAAAACTCAGGCTTGCGCTTTCACGGCCCCCTTTTCTTCACCTTCCCTCTCTTCAGGGCACAACACTGGCGCTACAGAGCAACATTACCATGCTCGGTATGGAAGTTCGCTCAGATCCGAATCCAAAGGACTACAACAAAACCGTGATCAAAACAGCTTCACGCAAACTCGGAGTCCTGAACAAGGTGCGGCGTTTTTTCACGCCCGATGAACTGTGCTTGTTGTACAAAACGCAAGTGCGGTCCTGTGTGGAATATTGCTCGCACCTATGGAATGGCTCCGCTAAGTACTTACTCGATGTTTTGGATAGGTTGCAGCGGCGCGCTGCCCGTATCATTGGCGATGAAGAGGTAAGTAAGAAAGTAGAGTCTCTACAATTACGCCGCGATGTGTCATTTATTCATTAAGCGCATTCTACCGACTATACCACGGCGAGTGTTCTGAGGAGCTATTCTCCCTTATCCCTCCATCACCTTTTCTTCAGAGGACCACGCACGCTGGCCTTCGTTGCCACCGACTTACTGTCTTGTGTAACAAAGACATTTGGTGACTCATTTGTTTGTCGTACTATTCGTAAGTGGAATTCTTTACCCGCGCACGTGTTCCCACCTTCCTATAATATGGGGTCCTTTAAGAGAGGTGTGAAGAAGCATTATTACAGGCCGGCAAGGTGAGGATGGTTGGTGTAGCAGTTTATAACTGCTGTACCAGCTATCTTTGCGTTTGGACTTTATCATCACTTAACATCAGGTGGGGTAGAGTCATTTGCCTACCTAGTTATAAAAAAAATTACAATGTGTTTCTGATACAAGAAGAATATCAATTTTATTTTCCAACATTAGAAGCTAAACTTCTTGTTTGTTGGGAGCCAGTCCATTTACGATCCAAGCGGCGACTATTAATGACTTCACTTTGTAAGACGATCGATAAGCTTGACTATGAGTCCCATTAGGGTATTCATTTGTTAAAGGATTATATCGAAACTGTCTGTTTGTCTTGTAAAGAATATGAGAATTTATATTTATAAATCAAGAGTGAACTCTTACGGCCTTGAGATTGGGGCTATAATTAATCTACGTGGACGTATTTCCTGGAAGAAGCTAGTACTTTATGATGAAGAAAAATCACGTAGCAATCTATAAGAGGAACCTCACTTAAGGATAAGCACTATTTTAGCAATTTAGCGCTGAAGACGTAAGTAAGTATGCTTTCGTCTATACGGCGTTGTAATTTGTAAACGCCACTCATTTCATTACCCTACGATAAGGAGGGTCTAGTTAATTTTTGCGCTCAATTTGGTACGACTGCCTACACCATTTTCAAAACAATGCGAGACGTGGTTACAGTAACTATATATTATTGGTTTACGAACCACCTTAGTTTTTCAAATGTTTGTATTGTTTAAAGCAAAATTTTGCAATAATTAAGATACGTTTACATTTTTCTTAAAATAATTTTTCATCCCTTGTCGCATATTTAAACTTAAGACGATCAAAATTGAAAGTAACTCAAAGGGAATAAGCAAATAAGTTGAAGTAAAAGCTCGAGAGCGGACGGAGCACTAGAGTGGCGGCAGTGTCATCGTTCCCCCGTAATTAACCGGCAGGCACGGAGCCAAAGTAGGGTCGCCGATGGAGGAAACAAAGTCAAGAGTCTCACCAGTGGCTGCATTCGGCTGCCTGCAACAAACAAACAAAAGGTAAATCTTTAATTTTTGTCTTATACCTAAAGTCTAAATAATCTATAATATAATTATTAAAGTGAATCCCTGTTTCCCTTTTTCATATAACTGGAGAACATTTTTTTCGTTATAAATCGATGAACACCGGCTGCACACACGAAAAAGTGTGATGTCATGTCACGAGTTAATGCAATTATTCGACCTCACCCCTAGCGTCACCTAAATAATCGAAAAAAAATCTTAAATTTTTTCTAATATTTTTTCGTTACATGTTAAGATAATATTTTATAACATCAAACACACCGGATTCTCGACACAGTCGCTAATTCATAATTTTTAAAATATGGATTTATTTTTGAAAATTAGTCATTTGTTTAATAGTCAGCGTTCTGTTTTCAGTTTTCAGCGTTTTGCTCGCATTTGTACGTTTTTCGTCATCATAGATACGTTAAAAGTTTTAGTGATTATGGAGTATGAATACCGTCGTGGCAGCAAAGCGGCAGAAGCGGCACGCAACTTCAACGACGTATAGAAATGTTACATGAAAAGTCATTATATTACAATTTTTCATTAATGCTCTATTTTTTTATATTGGAAGGCAGTTCCTTTTCGGACGGTATGGCGGATGGGGGCTGGGCGACAATTTACCGTCAAAAGGCTTGAATCGATTTATCGTGAGTATCGTGTACCGAGTCGTATGGTTACATCACTAGTTACAAATGTTAAAACGGGCCTTTTACTTGCCTTTAATGACTGTAGGTACTACTTAGTTTTAATTTCCGCGTATTATTTGAGAAAAGTACCATACAAGCCTTGGCCACAACAAGGCATTGATGGTCTTACGTATGGTGCTTCGGCTTCGCCTCGGCCCACATTTACACGATAGTCCCTCAATTGCTCTATTGCAGGCCGCTTCAGTAATGTATTATTATTATTCATAATGTAATAGTTATTAATGATATTAGTGTGGTAAGTTGGTTACATTATTACAAACGAGAAGACGAATGTAAGCCCGAGACGAAGTCGAGGACTTACCATAGTCACGAGTTTGCAATACTAATCCGCACGAATGTCATATAACATTTTTCAACACATTTGCGAGAAAACATTATATATAATTTAAGTACCTAATGAAACATTTTTTTTTCTAGTAAGAAAATGGCACACATTTCCAAATGGAAGATTGGGCTATGACTCGCCACGCAGGCCCAGTGCGTGTTGGTGGGTGGTATAATAAATATTTTAAACTTTATTTCAACCGAGTGTTCCACGACACTCACGTTTGCTTTTGTTATTTTTTTATTACCTTCTTACAATTTTTAAGCATGTTTAGTACGCGGAGGAATGTACTGTGTGCGGTGTGCATACAAGTCATTAATATAGTGCTATATCGGTTTGTAACCCTCTGCAGCCAGAACTATTAACAGCTTTCTAGCACGGGATACAAGTAGGAAAGTCCCTGTTTGATGTCGCTGGTAATATGTGGAGCAGGGATTTGCTCGACGATGTTAAGCTGGGCCTTTTATTGAGTTTGCAAGAGATTCACCAGGCGGAGTGCGGGTGGGTGCGAACGAATGAAAGCGAAACGAACGCTTGCAAATTCGGCCGGCACTTACCATTCCTTTCATAGCACTCGAGCTGCTCGAGTATTTTTTTTATATTAAGGCTAATTCCGCCAAATAGCATTGAACATTTGGCTGAGCTCGAAGGCTCCAGTCATTAGCACCCACCAATGCAAACTGGTCCCGCGTGATAGGTGATGGCCCAATCTCCCTATTCCATCCATAGGGAAGGCCTGTGTCCTAACTTCTAACAGTGAGAACATTAACCCGTGATAAACTAGTTTTATTTAATGAGTGATGTCCGTGAAAACCTAAGAAACAAATATCATGCAATTTCGTTATTACTAAATTATAGGCTGTTTCACTACTCATGCATGATAAAGTTCATAATGAAAAAGTTGTATTTTTTTTTATTTCTTGGTATAATCTATATATATAAAACTCAAAGGTGACTGACTGACATAGTGATCTATCAACGCACAGCCCAAATCACTGGACGGATCGGGCTGAAATTTAGCATGCAGGTAGATGTTATGACGTGGGCATCCGCTAAGAAAGGATTTTGATCAATTCTACCCCAAGGGGATAAAATAGGGAATGAAAGTTTGTATGAAACTTTGTCAATTTTAAACCGATCGGGCTGGGACTTTGCAGGTATAAGAAGAATCATAGATGAATGTCATTGTGTGTAATACAAGCCTGAGAACAAAAACTGTAGTCTACACTTCAGCTCTACACCGAAGCGAAGCGAGGGTGGGCCGCTAGTTAATAGGCTGATGATGATGTACAATAGCAAATGGCAAAGATGGGAGAACTCCAAAACGGACTTGGTAGTTTTTTTTGGGTGATTTTGGTGAAATACATTAGTATTTGCTTCCAAAATCAGTTACTATATTACCAGGAGTAGTAACTCCTGGTAATATTGAAGTAAGGAAAAGAATAGTGTCTGTTTGAAGAGTTCCATTTTATTTGAGTAGAAATATCGCATATATTATAGCATATCATCAGCCTATTAATGTCCCCACTGCTCGGGTACAGTCCTACCCTATAGATGGAATAGGGAGTTTGGGCCATGACCCACCACGCGGGCCCAGTGCGGATTGGCGGGTGATAACGACTGCAAATGCAGCCAGGACCAACGGCTCAACGTGCCTTCCGAAGCACGGAGGAGCTAGAGATAGTAAATTTTTGGTCACCCAGCCAATGACCGACCATTGCGAAAGTTGCTTAACTTCAAGGATCGCAGCCGAACGCGCTAACCACTTGAGCCATCGAGCTCCTCAGCATAAATCATCGAGTAACAGATGGTTAAAAAGCCGATGAGACGGGGCGAGGCGAGTTTACAAGTTGCTAGCAAACTCGCTGGCTTGTAGCTTGTAAACTCGCCCCGTGTCATCGAGGCTTAACCTACCCACGTACATTGTGACATGCTGTAATTTTCCGATAACCACGCGTACAAAGTCGCAGGCACAGCTAGTATGTAAGATATATTTATCGAACACCGTGTTGAAAGGCAAGTAAAAGAAATTACTTGAGTAGATTTTTACATTTCATAGTTAAGAAACTGATTTGAATGACAATACGGAGTGCTCATGATTTCTCCATTGTTTTTGCTTTGTAATTGTTTGCAGTGTCCTACAGATAAATTACCTACTTTAATTTTGAGTAAATATGTTGTGGTTGATATAGGTGGTTATGGGTAGTCATGCTCTCTCAAAAGTCTCTTCGGTGGTGTAATGTGAGGCGGGTCGTTACGTTCCCTAAAATATGGTTGAGCGAAGCGATGGCTGGTTCATGCGTCATGCTCGTGAACGGGTGCTGCCAGCGGAGATGAGTCTGCTCTAACTACTTTGATATTTAAGATGTAAATGTTTAGTTACACCTATTATAAATAACTTTATTTGTATTTATACTGTGTCACACACCACAACAATCAAAATGCAGGTGAACAATTAATGTATAATTTCACATTATTTGATGAAAGTTGACTTCATAAATCATCTCTGAAGTTATTTTTAACATGACGACTCTGTAAACAATAAAACAGGGAGAAAAAAACAGTCCTTGCTGAGTTTCTTGCCGGTTCTTCTCAGTACAAGGTCTCCCGCCGTAGATTTACGAACCGATGGCGTAGCTTTTAGACATTCAAATGTGCTTGTAACAGCCTAAACTGAATAAATGATTTTGATTATGATTAAAGTTAGAACTGTCAAAAATGAGAATTCTTAACCAAGTAACAGTCACCATTTTCGTTGCTAAGTAATCATTTGTTTTGTGCTTTTATCATCATTGTTATCCGAAAATATGGAAAGGTATCGACAATTTTATTTTTGCGAGGTGCCTAAAGTTGTGTGTGATCAGACTTTATAATGATTACACCCTTTCTGTTTATCAATTCCGGTGGGTTTTCTCCATTGCTTCTTTGAGTCTAAAAGCAATTTTTTTGCCGAGCAACAAAAGCTCATAATGAGCGGTACCTTTTCAATTCCACTAAACACAGCATCCTTATTGCATGTTAATCTTCATTTTTGGATAATATTTCCAACGACCCATTGGAAGAAGTTGTAAAAAAAAATTCGTAAACGTAAAACAGTCAGCCCCATTTAAGCATGTCTAATATGATTAAGATATATATATTATTCATTTATAATTGTAAATTGTATAGTATAAATAGGGAGCAGCGGCGTGCATTAGAGGAGACCTATGTCCAAAAGTGGACGAGCATGGGTTGATGATGATGATGATGAATAATAAATTTCCTATTGACGAATTCTAGTCTCAAGTAATGACTTAGTTCACAAATTACTTAGCAACAAGTAATTACTTCTTTATAAATACAAGTGTATAAAATGCTGCCTGTCACATGTAGGATTAACGTCCATTTGAGTGCATACCGGCTGCGTGCGTTTGATGCTATTATGACTGTTGCTGTTGAGTGGAGCCGGAGCGCACTCCTGGTCCAGCCTCACTAACTCAATTAATTAACTGCACTTCCCAACTCTCTACATTTGCTGCGGCTAACTACTATTGAAATATTGCAGATGGAGCCGGAGCCGATGGCTTAACAAGCCTTCCGAAGCACGGAGCAGCTCGAGATAATTTTGTTTTTGGTCACCCATCCGAAGACCGGCTACTGCGAAAGTTGCTTAATTTCCACGATCGTAGGCTCAGCGCGCTGACCACCTGCGCCATCGAGCTCCTCAGTAATACTAAAATATAAGATTTCTACTTCTAATCTTAAATTAATTCTTTATGTTGAGCTTAAAATCGATTTCAAATATATCAGTCGGTTTTTTTTTTTATTTTCAGTATTTTTGAAGTCTGTTCTATTTTTTTTCCATTTTTAGTGTTACGACAGCTTACGCGCGCTCTTCCAATCGATCTACGTGAGTAAAACAGTGGGGCACTGCTAGTCTATACTTATAATAAATCTGTA